GAGCTCAAACCTCAGCTTTCCAATTTCTAGCTCTACAGTCTTAGATGAGTCCAGTCACCCTTCTGTTGTCTCTGAAACAAATGCAAAGTCCCTCTTTCCTTGGGTGTTTTAAACTAAGTTTAAATGAGTCATTACATGTAATGTGCTTAACATAAGGCCTAACCCTAAGAAAGTGCCCATCTGAATACATTATTATTAATTCCAAAAGCGTGTGGTTCTTTTTGTATCTAGACCTTTCTGCCTGATTTCTTTGAAAACTAAAACCATACGTGACAAAATACTAGACTCTTTCTTCAGGAATCTCCTGAGCTTGCTTCTCTATTTCTATTGTTAGTATTTCCTATCAGACCAGCTGTATTTTCCTGAACATCTTCAATCTCCATCAGTCCATTCTGGTTTAAAAGTTTGTGTTCTTATTTATTTATTTGTTTGTATAGTATCTTCTCTAAAATTCCTAGGTTTCATTATAATTTCTCCCTAAAAGATTGGCTTATTTCAGGGAACAGTTTCATATCCTCTAATACATACAAGTCCTCCCTACCTTCTACCCATCTGTTTTACTATTCATTCATTCATTCATTCATTCATTCATTCATTCATTCATTTATTCAAGGTATGAGAATCACTTTTTTCTTCACTCAAGTAGTTCAAATGCATGAAGAAGACAGACAACGCTTACCTGTAAAAGATCACCTGGACAACAGTAAGGGTCACCAAATACTAGATTACTTATTAAAATACATAAAGAATATCACTGAGAAGAAGCGTATGGTTCTTGAGCTACGTGTTCAGTGATGAGCAGGATATTTCTAGGAATGGGGGGAGGCAGAAATGTTGCATTCCATGTCAAGGAAACAACAGCACATATAAAAGCGAACCTAGTGGAATGCAGACTGAAACAGCATACAGTGTTTGAGAACTCCCAACATGACCAGAGAATGAAGCTGGAGAAAGAGGCAGTGGATTGATGGGTCAGGCGGTAAGGTAGGCAGATGGCACATGGCTCAAGTCTCCTCTTTGCCATGCCAAGGATTGCATTTGGATTTTAGAGCAGAAAGAATTGCTTCCAAATTATTAAATGATGGCCTCATAGATACTTGATATTCATTATCCTATTTCAGCTTCAAGTGAACTACAAAGTAGACAGTTATTAGTCTCATTTCATTGATAATGAAACCGAAGGGTCAACTATGAAAATGGTACAGTCAGGATTTGAACAAAGGTCCACTTGATTGCAAAGCTCATATTTTATTATACCACATTTTGGAAGGGATTGGACTAAGTTAGTGAGGAGTGGCCCTCTGACACATCTTAAGCCAAGGAATGATGTGAACAAATTTGCTTTTCAAAATCATAACTTTACAGCAGTGTGGGAAAGTAGATTGAAGAAGGAAGAACCTAACAGCAGAAAAAGCCTGTTAAAATCTAAAGATATAATCCTTCACGAGGTATAGGGGTCTAAACAAAGATAATGGGAAATTCAAAGAAATTGCTGGATCTGAGACTCGCTTAGGAAATACAACTGACCACATCAGCATTCTCCAAGTGCTCACTGACATTTTGGCACATGAAACTCAACTTATGGAGGGTCTACCATCTCACCTTAATGATTGAAAGGAAGAGAAGAACAAAGAGTTTTTTGCTACAACTAGTAATTGGTCCTATCAAAAATATTTTGAGAATGAGTGTTATGGAGGAACATGGCTCAAAACTCAACCTATTTTTGACAATGACTTAGGAAACAATCCAAGAACTGAGTAATAAATGAAATTAGAGGCAGGTAAAATATAAATTCTCGAAAGGGCTGTAATCAAGGGAAAAAGTTACGGTTTTGCCACAGTTTGGAGAGAGAGGAGACCAGAGTGGGCTGGTAGAAGCACTAGGTGAACGCACAGGCTGAGTGTTTGGAAGCAGTTTTTATAAGTGACTTTGTGAGATTCTTTATTCGACCCACTTACCCAGGGTTCATATGCCCAGTGGGGTGACCCAGCAGCATAAATGTCCCTCCCAGTATCCAGCAATGATTTCTTCAGAGTACATATTTGGAGCCTTAAGAGATCCAAGACAAGGCTGGGAACAATATTCTTAGTTTTTAATACATATTTTCACCTGTTGAGAGTCTTTTTTATTAGTGTTGCCTGTGTTTCCTCTAAAAACAGGCTGAGTGTGTTGTAGAGACCCTTTACAGATTGTACTGTGACCTGTGCAAGGGTGGCTGGCCCTTCTCAGGGCATTGCGGGGAGGGAGCTCAAATGTGCCTGTGAACAAAGTATGAATGGACTAGCGTCCCCAGATGGTTCAAGAGGAAGCTGAATGTCCACTGGATGAACATAGAAATGTTCCCCTGTGTGTGTGGTAGGAAAATTCTGATGGTAGACTTTAAGGAGGGGAGGGAAGGATAGCATCTTAGGTGGATTGGTGCAGAGGTCATAAACCCAGGCACTACCTTCAGATGCTCCTTTAATGACATCATGCTAACAGCTCCAGTAATCATGTCATACGGCTATGAAACAAGACAACTGTTGGGTAGCATTCCAGCAGGATAACCTTGTTGCCCATGACCCCTGCCTTAGGGGATTTTATAAGAACACAGGCCCGCTCGTGCTACCATCACATCGCCACTGCGGGCACAGGGAAACACACTTGGCTTCTTGTCTCCGTCCATGACAAGGATTTTGAAAAGCCCTCAAAAACGTTCACAAAATTGTGAGGAATAAAATGCCTGCTCACACGGTACCTGAAAATGGCTTGAATGTTCTCTGATGGTTAGAGTGGGGTGGACCACCGGCTCTTTCTAGCAGCCCTTCATCGGCCTCAGAATCCAAGCTCACTGTCCGGCTGCTGCTCTCCACTTCTGCTCTTGTTCCTCCTGGAAGCCAACCCTCAGCTCCCAGGAGGTGGCAGACACTACTGGGGTCCCTTTGCAGCCATTCTCCCCAGCCCTCCCTGCCATCACCCTTTCTGGATTTGGCTTCTCCACTAATAAGAGTGACCCGTTGCATTCTCAGTGCGGACTTACCAGACGTGCTGGGTCATAAACACAGTTCCCTGGTATCAGCAGTACCACTGAGGCTGCTGAGAGACATTGAACAAAAGAACATGTTTCCTAATTCACAGCTCCTATTGTGAGGTCAAATTGAGACTATTAATTTGGCCACTTTATCCTTTATGAAGCATAGGTAGTTTGGTAGTTCAGTGTGCACACACTGATGAGTTTCTGGGGAAATGTATTGCCTTAATAAGTTGGAGAAATACTTAAGTAATATTTTCTATGTGACAAGCCTTTTACTTGGCATTGGTAAATCTGAAGTCAGATTCTATCCTTTTTCTGGAAGAACTGCAATCTAGGAAAGGAAACAAATATCCCAGAAGCTATAGAAAGAAGGCAGAATATTAAAAGTTGGTAGAAGAGAAGAATTAAAACCGCTTTTTAGAGTGTTACTTCGTCCAGAGAGCCTGCATTTCAATGCCATTATCGGCAGGTCTAAATTAAGGCCTGGCTGGAGCGGTGATGGAGCTGGGAGCATCGGGACCCTCCCATTAACCACAGTGCCTGGGAGCTCCCTGAATATTCGGTCCTCAAGCAGCACGCAGCCTCCTCTAGAGGCAGTCACGCCCAAACAGCTGGGAGCAAAGCAGCAAATGGAAATAGGTTCAAGTTTGAGAAAACCCCGGAAGTGCAGTTGAGCTACCTGAATGGGAGAGTTTGAAGGACTACAAAATTGTGGGTGGAGACCATTCCTGCTCAGGGGCTGCACTGACGTTCTTTGTTTAGGTGGAAGTGGAGCGCGCATATAGCCAGAGTTAGTTGTCAGCAGTCATCCTTCTCATTATCTCCACACATGCACCCTGGCCAAAATAATTATGCCGTAAAAATTAAAAGTTTGCTCCATCCCTTTGATTTCCTTTCCTTTTCCCCTTGTTTATTCCCCTTCAAGCCCGTAAACAACACAAAGTCGCTGCTTGCACTACCATCCTCAGAGGTGACAGAGAAAAGCAGTTTGTGTGTATCATGTTTCTCACCAAGACTCCTGCCTACCTAGGCCTTCCTTGGATGCACAGACTATTTTGATCTTCCGAGTTGCCTGGTCCCTCAGTAGGCATTTCTAAGTTGTCTAGGTATGATGGCCTAGGTTCCCCAGCCTCCCAACCCCTCCAGTTAGCCCTTCCTCGTTCAGTGGCACCCCTTTTGCCTGCAACTAACTCCTGCCCAACTTTTTTTAAATCTCTCTCCTACTTAGCAATGCTATCAGCATCTGCTCTCAGGCTCTGCCAGAAGACCAGGCATAATGATACCTTCAGGTGGCCTTGCCAAGAATATTTGCATTCCAATAGGGTTCAGAGCATCACAATGAAGGCAGTGCTCCCTGAAACCAGATGTTCTGGGATTAGCAGGGAGAGAGAACAGAATGGAGAGGGTGAAGGACAGTGATGAGTGGACAGGGCCTTTTCTTGCTTCCCCTGTCCGAATCCCGTCTTCTGAGTGTAAGGGGTAACCATGCCTGCTCCCCCATCAGCCCCAACAACCTCAGACCAACTTTGATATCATATCTTTTTAATTACACCCTTCTTAGGTTCACCCTCGTGAACTACTTACAGTTATGTAGACTCTCTAACTCTCGCTAGCCGCTCCGGTAGGGCTAATCCACCCAAGGTACGCACGCAGTGGGTAGGTGGCAGCGCTGGGATTCAAGCCAGTTCTGTCTGGTGCCAAAGGCCAGTCTCAGCCCATCACTGCCTCCGAGGGAAATGCCCCTTTTATTGCTTTAATTCATTCCCTTTAACCAGTCTCCTGCTGTCCCATTCCGTGACTACTTTCGTTAGGGTCATAAAATCAGACCCCTCTCCCCAGGCAGTAAGCACATGGTTGTCTGGGCCGTAACTTGGCCCTGCCATTCCCCTGTTTTCACCCCAAAGTCCAACAGTTACACTTGCAGGGTAGGGATGGGACCAGCGGAGAAAGGAGGGTTTGTGCTTCCTAAGTCCATGGCCCCGGCAAGTAGCGCTTTTCCCCCTTTCGTTTTCTTCAATTCCGTCCGCATCCTCTTCCTACCCCCTCCTCCAGAGGAGTGAGTGCATCCATGTATGTGGCTGGTCTCGAGCGTCCACAGTAATGGGACTCTGAGGAGCTGCACTCCACACATCCGGAAACCCCACAGTCTTCACTTGGGCGTGGAATGGACGACTGTCTCCTCTGGTATGTAAGGTTCCATTGCTTTCAGTTTCTCAATTTTCCTCTAATTCCAGACTTTGGGGACATTGTCATGTTTTTGCTTCCAAAGTTATTTACCTTTTCTCTCATCTGAGCCATCTTCAGTTTATTTGAAGAGCCAAAATAGCACAGTACTAAAGGATCTGCGCACTAGGGTTAGGCCGACTTGAGCTCAAACCTAGGCTTTCCAATTTCCAGCTCTACAGTCTTAGATGAGTCCGGTCACCCTTCTGTTGTCTCTGAAACAAATGCAAAGTCCCTCTTTCCTTGGGTGTTTTAAACTAAGTTTAAATGAGTCATTACATGTAATGTGCTTAACATAAGGCCTAACCCTAAGAAAGTGCCCATCTGAATACATTATTATTAATTCCAAAAGCGTGTGGTTCTTTTTGTATCTAGACCTTTCTGCCTGATTTCTTTGAAAACTAAAACCATACGTGACAAAATACTAGACTCTTTCTTCAGGAATCTCCTGAGCTTGCTTCTCTATTTCTATTGTTAGTATTTCCTATCAGACCATCTGTATTTTCCTGAACATCTTCAATCTCCATCAGTCCATTCTGGTTTAAAAGTTTGTGTTCTTATTTATTTATTTGTTTGTATAGTATCTTCTCTAAAATTCCTAGGTTTCATTATAATTTCTCCCTAAAAGATTGGCTTATTTCAGGGAACAGTTTCATATCCTCTAATACATACAAGTCCTCCCTACCTTCTACCCATCTGTTTTACTATTCATTCATTCATTCATTCATTTATTCAAGGTATGAGAATCACTTTTTTCTTCACTCAAGTAGTTCAAATGCATGAAGAAGACAGACAACGCTTACCTGTAAAAGATCACCTGGACAACAGTAAGGGTCACCAAATACTAGATTACTTATTAAAATACATAAAGAATATCACTGAGAAGAAGCGTATGATTCTTGAGCTACGTGTTCAGTGATGAGCAGGATATTTCTAGGAATGGGGGGAGGCAGAAATGTTGCATTCCATGTCAAGGAAACAACAGCACATATAAAAGCGAACCTAGTGGAATGCAGACTGAAACAGCATACAGTGTTTGAGAACTCCCAACATGACCAGAGAATGAAGCTGGAGAAAGAGGCAGTGGATTGATGGGTCAGGCGGTAAGGTAGGCAGATGGCACATGGCTCAAGTCTCCTCTTTGCCATGCCAAGGATTGCATTTGGATTTTAGAGCAGAAAGAATTGCTTCCAAATTATTAAATGATGGCCTCATAGATACTTGATATTCATTATCCTATTTCAGCTTCAAGTGAACTACAAAGTAGACAGTTATTAGTCTCATTTCATTGATAATGAAACCGAAGGGTCAACTATGAAAATGGTACAGTCAGGATTTGAACAAAGGTCCACTTGATTGCAAAGCTCATATTTTATTATACCACATTTTGGAAGGGATTGGACTAAGTTAGTGAGGAGTGGCCCTCTGACACATCTTAAGCCAAGGAATGATGTGAACAAATTTGCTTTTCAAAATCATAACTTTACAGCAGTGTGGGAAAGTAGATTGAAGAAGGAAGAACCTAACAGCAGAAAAAGCCTGTTAAAATCTAAAGATATAATCCTTCACGAGGTATAGGGGTCTAAACAAAGATAATGGGAAATTCAAAGAAATTGCTGGATCTGAGACTCGCTTAGGAAATACAACTGACCACATCAGCATTCTCCAAGTGCTCACTGACATTTTGGCACATGAAACTCAACTTATGGAGGGTCTACCATCTCACCGTAATGATTGAAAGGAAGAGAAGAACAAAGAGTTTTTTGCTACAACTAGTAATTGGTCCTATCAAAAATATTTTGAGAATGAGTGTTATGGAGGAACATAGCTCAAAACTCAACCTATTTTTGACAATGACTTAGGAAACAATCCAAGAACTGAGGAATAAGTGGAATTAGAGGCAGGTAAAATATAAATTCTCAAAAGGGCTGTAATCAAGGGAAAAAGTTACGGTTTTGCCACAGTTTGGAGAGAGAGGAGACCAGAGTGGGCTAGTAGAAGCGCTAGGTGAACGCACAGGCTGAGTGTTTGGAAGCAGTTTTTATAAGTGACTTTGTGAGATTCTTTATTCGACCCACTTACCCAGGGTTCATATGCCCAGTGGGGTGGCCTAGCAGCATAAATGCCCCTCCCAGTATCCAGCAATGATTTCTTCAGAGTGCATATTTGGAGCCTTAAGAGATCCAAGACAAGGCTGGGAACAATATTCTTAGTTTTTAATACATATTTTCACCTGTTGAGAGTCTTTTTTATTAGTGTTGCCTGTGTTTCCTCTAAAAACAGGCTGAGTGTGTTGTAGAGACTCTTTACAGATTGTACTGTGACCTGTGCAAGGGTGGCTGGCCCTTCTCAGGGCATTGCGGGGAGGGAGCTCGAATGTGCCTGTGAACAAAGTATGAATGGACTAGCGTCCCCAGATGGTTCAAGAGGAAGCTGAATGTCCACTGGATGAACATAGAAATGTTCCCCTGTGTGTGTGGTAGGAAAATTCTGATGGTAGACTTTAAGGAGGGGAGGGAAGGATAGCATCTTAGGTGGATTGGTGCAGAGGTCATAAACCCAGGCACTACCTTCAGATGCTCCTTTAATGACATCATGCTAACAGCTCCAGTAATCATGTCATACGGCTATGAAACAAGACAACTGTTGGGTAGCATTCCAGCAGGATAACCTTGTTGCCCATGACCCCTGCCTTAGGGGATTTTATAAGAACACAGGCCCGCTCGTGCTACCATCACATCGCCACTGCGGGCACAGTCAGGGAAACACACTTGGCTTCTTGTCTCCGTCCATGACAAGTATTTTGAAAAGCCCTCAAAAGCGTTCACAAAATTGTGAGGAATAAAATGCCTGCTCACACGGTACCTGAAAATGGCTTGAATGTTCTCTGATGGTTAGAGTGGGGTGGACCACCGGCTCTTTCTAGCAGCCCTTCATCGGCCTCAGAATCCAAGCTCACTGTCCGGCTGCTGCTCTCCACTTCTGCTCTTGTTCCTCCTGGAAGCCAACCCTCAGCTCCCAGGAGGTGGCAGACACTACTGGGGTCCCTTTGCAGCCATTCTCCCCAGCCCTCCCTGCCATCACCCTTTCTGGATTTGGCTTCTCCACTAATAAGAGTGACCCGTTGCATTCTCAGTGCGGACTTACCAGACGTGCTGGGTCATAAACACAGTTCCCTGGTATCAGCAGTACCACTGAGGCTGCTGAGAGACATTGAACAAAAGAACATGTTTCCTAATTCACAGCTCCTATTGTGAGGTCAAATTGAGACTATTAATTTGGCCACTTTATCCTTTATGAAGCATAGGTAGTTTGGTAGTTCAGTGTGCACACACTGATGAGTTTCTGGGGAAATGTATTGCCTTAATAAGTTGGAGAAATACTTAAGTAATATTTTCTATGTGACAAGCCTTTTACTTGGCATTGGTAAATCTGAAGTCAGATTCTATCCTTTTTCTGGAAGAACTGCAATCTAGGAAAGGAAACAAATATCCCAGAAGCTATAGAAAGAAGGCAGAATATTAAAAGTTGGTAGAAGAGAAGAATTAAAACCGCTTTTTAGAGTGTTACTTCGTCCAGAGAGCCTGCATTTCAATGCCATTATCGGCAGGTCTAAGTTAAGGCCTGGCTGGAGCGGTGATGAAGCTGGGAGCATCGGGACCCTCCCATTAACCACAGTGCCTGGGAGCTCCCTGAATATTCGGTCCTCAAGCAGCACGCAGCCTCCTCTAGAGGCAGTCACGCCCAAACAGCTGGGAGCAAAGCAGCAAATGGAAATAGGTTCAAGTTTGAGAAAACCCCGGAAGTGCAGTTGAGCTACCTGAATGGGAGAGTTTGAAGGGCTACAGAATTGTGGGTGGAGACCATTCCTGCTCAGGGGCTGCACTGACGTTCTTTGTTTAGGTGGAAGTGGAGCGCGCATATAGCCAGAGTTAGTTGTCAGCAGTCATCCTTCTCATTATCTCCACACATGCACCCTGGCCAAAATAATTATGCCATAAAAATTAAAAGTTTGCTCCATCCCTTTGATTTCCTTTCCTTTTCCCCTTGTTTATTCCCCTTCAAGCCCGTAAACAACACAAAGTCGCTGCTTGCACTACCATCCTCAGAGGTGACAGAGAAAAGCAGTTTGTGTGTATCACGTTTCTCACCAAGACTCCTGCCTACCTAGGCCTTCCTTGGATGCACAGACTAGTTTGATCTTCCGAGTTGCCTGGTCCCTCAGTAGGCATTTCTAAGTTGTCTAGGTATGATGGCCTAGGTTCCCCAGCCTCCCAACCCCTCCAGTTAGCCCTTCCTCGTTCAGTGGCACCCCTTTTGCCTGCAACTAACTCCTGCCCAACTTTTTTTAAATCTCTCTCCTACTTAGCAATGCTATCAGCATCTGCTCTCAGGCTCTGCCAGAAGACCAGGCATAATGATACCTTCAGGTGGCCTTGCCAAGAATATTTGCATTCCAATAGGGTTCAGAGCATCACAATGAAGGCAGTGCTCCCTGAAACCAGATGTTCTGGGATTAGCAGGGAGAGAGAACAGAATGGAGAGGGTGAAGGACAGTGATGAGTGGACAGGGCCTTTTCTTGCTTCCCCTGTCCGAATCCCGTCTTCTGAGTGTAAGGGGTAACCATGCCTGCTCCCCCATCAGCCCCAACAACCTCAGACCAACTTTGATATCATATCTTTTTAATTACACCCTTCTTAGGTTCACCCTCGTGAACTACTTACAGTTATGTAGACTCTCTAACTCTCGCTAGCCGCTCAGGTAGGGCTAATCCACCCAAGGTACGCACGCAGTGGGTAGGTGGCAGCGCTGGGATTCAAGCCAGTTCTGTCTGGTGCCAAAGGCCAGTCTCAGCCCATCACTGCCTCCGAGGGAAATGCCCCTTTTATTGCTTTAATTCATTCCCTTTAACCAGTCTCCTGCTGTCCCAAAATGCCTCATTGACTCTAACCTTATTTTCTAAGATTACATTTTACCTATTCATTTTACCTTTCTTTAGTAGAAATACGTTTTACGGCACTTCATGGTCAAAACACTTCTTACAGTTCAAGTACAGGATGCCCATCTGCACTCTCTGCTGCAGAATCATATTAACTCCTGTATTCCCATTCCCATTCATCAAAGTTGCAAATGAACTCTCTGTGGTCACCCAATTAATCCATCAATTTTACCTTCTCCAAAGCAGTGTCTTTTAAACATAGAGACAAGGCAATAATTTCACCTATATAAAAAATATTCTTACTTTATAGTAGATTTAAAATTTTTTTAATTTAGAATTTTAATTTTTGTGTTTTTATAATGAATTATATTACACATAACTAAACAATGACTTTTCAAGCTTAAATAGTGATTTTTAAAAATATTTTCTATACAGATTAATTTTAAGGGCTTATATGATATTTTAAAAGTAAAATCATGCATCTTATAAATATTTACAGACAGTGAAAATCACAAAGTGTATCATAATATGTAACTGATGATGTTACAGAGGTAAAGTGTATAGTTCCAGAGACCATAATTAATAAGTAAATGAATAGAAATGAGAATAAAAAATACCACCAGCCTGACAATTTAGAAACTATAATCAATGTCTTAGTATTTCCCCTCTTTTAAAAAATAATGGCATAAAGAATCTACATTACTTAGGAGAGCTTTCAGAGCTGTAGTATGAAAGTGTTAGCCCTAATAATTAGCTAGGAAGATTAATATTTTAATGGGCTATGCTTCTGAGAGAGAACTGGAAAATCGAAGCCCAGCACCCCTTGCATTTCTGTTCTCTGGGACAATAGTTTATCCCAACTTCTTCTAGGCCACCATTGATAGCCCACTAATGTGTGATCTGAAAATGTCCCAGGGAGTATAATGAGCAATTTACCCATGAAACCTTTCCTTATGACTAACAATTTAATGCCTTAGACATCAATTAATAAATCTTGCCTAATGTACTGAATAAATAATTGTGTTAGTCTAAATATATGGTACATGATGGAAGTCCCTGTTTTATCTTCCAACAGATAATTGATGCAGAGAAGAGACAAAAGAAGGGACTCACTCTAAAAAATAAATGCTCTGCAAAGCAATCTCGTGCCTCACCTAATGCAATATGTTTCTCATGGGTCTTTTGTTACTCTGTAATATATTAAATTATCTCTCCAATTACCCTGGCAACTAAAACACAGGATTCTAATATGCTGAATGATTACACCAGCTGTCAGAATAAATGATAGCTAAGATATTTTAATTATTAAGCACAATAAAAATATGCAAAGTGTTCATTTTCTTAATAAGACTTGTGTCCAAAGCATAGAGGAATCCTCATACTGCCACAATTCTTTTTCTCCACCTTACATCACCAATATAGCCCTTTTTCACTCAGAGGCTGGTAGATAGCTAGAAGAATTGCAGCAGCCTTTATATGTAACCTCCACATACCCAGTTCTTTCCTTGGGTCACTTTAGTTACAAATGTAGCAGAACATTATTATTTAAAGCTGCATTTTTAACCAGCTTACCTCCAGAACAATAGCAACAATAACAAAGGGTCCATCCTAATAAAAGGTCTGTGCACAGTCTATTTAAGCAACATAAAGTGTTCCTTTATTTTATTATAGGCTACCCCAGAGGTTAACCATCTTAATAGGCTGGCATTTAGATTGAGAACAGGAACAAAGCATTACTAGAAAGCAGAGAGAGCTTCCTCCAGCCCTAGTATCTCTGCTTTCCGTAATTCTTATAAAACAGAGCGACTCAATGAAAAAGAATCGATACCTTTGAATAAGAGCATTCCAGCGCAGGAATATCGGGGTCCCACCGGCTGCTGTGCAAAATGAGTTGCTTGGGCATGTATCCCTCTCGTCTTAGCTACGGGGTCTGCTTGGTGGCTGCTGTCAACATAAGGAGCATTTACGACATGTCTGTGGTGTCCGTCTGCAATAAAAGGAGACTAATCAGCTCAGCTTGGTGTGATTGCCTGGAGGCATCAGCTCTTTAGGCCCTCGGCATCTGATTGGCTGCTTCCTAGTCTCACTGTACTCCTCTCCCTTAACCTTCCACTGTGTTCAATATATTTTCCCTAGGGATACAGTCAGAGAATTGCCGGCTAGGGAATTACTGGCAGGTTAAATAGAACTGGTTTTAAAAAGCAGTGATGTGATTTTGTATGAATATGTCTAATGTTTAATTTTCCAGGGTTCTACATCATCTTCCCAGGAGAAACCCGGTAAAATGGATATAATTTAACATTAGCAGTTTTACATTTCCTCTCTGAAAATATTTTGAGTTTAATGCTCATAGAACACAGTACTGAAGTGATCAGGTGGCTTTGTGCAGCACAGCATGTCTGTATAATCAACATTAAATCAAAACAGATGGGGATGACAGAATATATTAAGAGGGTTATTACAAATGCAAGGAGAAGCAGTTGTTGAATAAGGCTACTGAAGCCATCTCAAAAAATTGTTATAAATCACTTCCAGAAAATGCTCTTAAAATAGTTATGGTTGATTTTATATGGCTACAGTAATGAAAACATAAAGATCAATGACATACAAATGGTAAAGCCTTTGTTAACATCTCTAGAAGAAAAGTGACAGAAATATCAAGTCTTTTATTCTATGAAACAGGCAAAATAAGAAAATGAATAAAATGTATACCTTTGTCACCTCCTATCCATGTTTTAGATTTAATTTTTTACTTTATTTTGGTCAAGGACTTCATACAGGATAATAAAAAATACCCATCAGGATATTATTTTTTTAAGTGAGAGGCTTCAAATTAATATGGTGAATTGACTACATATTTTAACCCTCTCTCCACAAAACCTCACTAAAGTGAGAGTACAGTTTTTCTTCAAAAAAACATAAACCCCCTAAGGACAAAGAAATAGGAAATATTGCAACCAAATTTAGAATGCTAGAAAGCAAATGGATAGGTGGTAAGTGAACAGGAGAAGCTGAATCCCGAACTAGCAGTGCGGAAAGTCAAGAAGCGACGTAACAGACCTTTGGAAGTAGAGATAAGGTGGGACTAAAAACAGCAGATGGTCTGACTGCCCATCCTTCACCTGAGCAGAGCACTGGAGGTTTTGAATACATAAAAACAGAGTCTCTGGAGTAACATGGTTATGAATAAAGGAATGAAAATGAAAATATGGGAATTACTGGAAAACTGGCCTTTCCTGCACTCAACTCCTACGAGACAGGTAGCAGGGTATATACTTTCAGAAAGGACACACGAAGAGTGTTCTCTGGAGACTCTGACCACCCTAAAAGAGAAAACTTAAAGTCATTAATATTGGATACTCTCAAATAAATGGTCCAGCCAGATCGTCCAGCAGTGAAGGCCACGTTAATAAGCTCTACACATGAGTTTTTAGTGCCCCACTCTTTCATATGAACAGACAGGACAAAATACCTAATATCAAAGCAGAGACCAGAACAAATAAAAAAAAAAACAGGCAAACAACAGGCAGAGAAACCAATATGGAAAAAAAATATATTGGAGGAAACAATAGGTGCAGAGGGAAAACCATTTAAATGCTATCATTAATTCTCTTGTTGAAATAAAAGATGCATAGACATGTTCTCACTTTGCATGGTTCCAATATGCATTAATATCAAGAGTCACAGTTTAGTTTATAACACCAGTCCCTTCGTAATAAAGTTCACATTTCAGTTACAACAGTATATTAGCTGTGAATAATTGCATAGTATACAAGTTTTTCTGTTGTCTCTTCTGCCCACAGTCATTAACAATAGATACGCATCATGATCAGTGACCAATCACATCCCTTCTTTCATAGTCTGCTGGTGTTTGTTCACACACAGATAGTAAAGTATGTAGTTGTGTTGCCCCCTCTGCTCCCACTGATAAACCCGTGTGGCATTTTCCAGAATAGATAATGAAAAGAGGGAATTGGCCAATGCAAGTGAAAAGCAGCAGTGAAATGAAAAATAAGACAGGAAGTGAAATTGGATATAAGAAAATGGTGATTGCGAAGCAAGACAGGAAGGGTTGCATGAACCATACTGCAACAGTCCAACAGATACAAATAATGAGGCGAAGTTCCTTCAACATCTCTTAGTTTAAATTGCAGTAGGAACAGAAAAGATGCTTATGGTTGGATTAAAGACTGTAATTCAGAAGAAAATAATTTGGCTAACATTCAGGTGAAAGCGTTAATGTTAGTTGCCAGCTTAAAAGAAAATGATAATTATAAGGAAATGGAAGAAGAAACTTTTATTACAGGTAAAGGCTAGTTTCATTGTTTCAAAAGTTGGCGTGATTTGATTAATGTTAAGTTATCCTGTGAGGCTGGTAGAGCAGAAAAGGATGCTGCTATGGCATTTGTACCTAGATTCCAAGGACTGGTTAAGGCATCTGGATATGATAATCCATATTTTATATGGGTGGAAGTGTTTATGATGAAAAGGATAAAATGTCTGAGAGGGAGTGATAGTGACAAAATAATCCACATTCAAGGGCTCTTGGAGATATTTCATGACACGAAAGCACAAGAAATATGTGGTTGTAAACTGATCCAAACTTAGGGGTGTGACGATTGATTAGGACATGGAGGAGATGTTCATTTCGTATTTTAAGTTTACTATGAGAAGGCACCAAGCATTTTTTCCAGAAAGAAAATACTTCAATTTTCAATGTTTGTAATGTTTTTAAATTACAGCACGAGTAAATATGTTTTATCTTTTTTTATTTCCCTGTACACTTAAAACTGATCATAAGCATTTTTAATGTTTTGAAAAAGCTGTTAAAGATCACAGAATAATTGTCATTTTTTCCATTTACTATTAAGATTACTTTCCATGGTTTCTGCTTGCTGGTCATTTTTACAAGCCTGTACTACTGTGCCAAGTGCAGATTTATATTGTACCTCAGAAACAAGAACAGGCGACTGGAAGAAAGAAGTACATGGAATCTAAAAAGCTCTTGGAAAACTTAATAGAAAGATTGGAAGATAAAGTTAAGGAAATATTTCTGAAAGCTGAGTAAAAAGGCAAAAAAAAAAAAAGAGGAAAAATTTGAGGAAAAAGGGAGAGAATTAGAGGTATAGCCTAGGAATCCAACATCTGGATAACAGGAGTTCTAGCAAGAGGACTATGAAGAAAAGAAATCAAAAGATAATTCAAGAAAAATTCCCATGAGTTTACAGATTGAAAGAATGCCACTGAGACAGATAATTGGCTAATTATTGTGAAATTTCAGAAAATTGGGGACAAAGAAGATTCTATAAACTTTTAGAAAGAAAACCATGAATTTCATATAAAGGATCAAGAATTAAGATGGTATTATTCTTAACAGCAACATTAGAAGCTGGAAACAATGGAAAACTGTTTTTCAAATTATAAGAAAAATAATTTCCAACCTAGAATTCCATATCCAGCCAAATTATCTCTAAGAAACATAATTATTGATATGAAAGCTCTTTAAACTTCCCATCTCTGGAGTTCATTGGAGGATGTGCTCCACCAAACTAAGAGACTAAAACAAAATCTGGGATCCTACACAATCAAAAAGTGAAGGAGCCACCCAGCCTTGAGAATGGTATTAGAGTAAGATTTCAATATAAGTAGCCTACCTAGGGAGCTACCTACGTCTAAATGGGAGCAGGCTAGAAGGTCCCAGTAGAGATGTTTCAGAAAAATAGAAATTGATAAAATATATAATATATTTGCTGTTTTGAGAGAAGATTATACAATTCGGGGAATGTTTGGGGCTCTGTTAATTGTAAGTATATAAGCAATTTTGTAACAAAAAAGACAATTTTATTGTATAGGAAGAGAAAAGTATACTTCATGGTTGGTACCTGGGTGGTGTTTACACAGACATAGTAATAAAAAGACTCAATATTGACACAAGCTAAAGGTTGATATTTGAAGGATAAGCTGACTGAGTGTGAGTGTGTGGTGGGTTCAGGGTGTATGCATGAAAGAGAAAGAAAAAACCTCATCTTCCAAAGAAAAAAGTCAATATGTAATGCCCCAAACTGAAACATCAAGTAGTAGAAATATAAACACGTTATTTAGGGATAAGAAAATAAATACTAGAAGTAACTTACAATTTTTAATGTGATTGCCTCTGGTGAACGAGAAACAGCAAGGATTGCTGTTTTATTAGTCACTGAATTTGACGACTGTAAGTTTTAATGGAAATAAAAATTAGAGCAGAATATTAAAAACTGAGGTAGATTTGAAACTTTTACTTGCTGATAAATGGAAAAAATGGAGGACTTGTAACAGTGAAAAGAAGGGACCCATTCATGTAGAAAAAAAAAGAATATTTATACCTTTCAGAAGGATGCACAAGGAAATAATCCATTGATAATTGTTGCCTCTGGAGAAAAAAACTGGAGGGCCCAGGTGGGAAAAAGAAACATTTTCTCCTACATATTTTCTATACTGTTAAAAAATTAATAATAACATTTTCAATAAGATTAAGTAATTTTAAAATGATAAATCTTCTAATCCAAAAGAAAAATAGAATTTTACCATTTAAATACGTGTACTTCCATAGTAACTTACTAACTTAGTTGTCATTACTGAATTTGCTTTCTAGTTCTAAAAAATTAAGGTTTTAATAGCAACAAAAATTAGAGTAATGTATAAGGCAAAAAAGCATATACAATGTTACATGTACAGTATCATAAATGATGGATTTCAATGACATATAGAAATTGCCTATCAGATTTCCTTGCATAGTGAGTGCTGCACTTACAAGAAATTCCCTGAAAATTTCCTATGGGAAGAGCTTGCTGGAGGAGGGGATGCAGTGTGGCTGTTAGTCTGTAGAGGTGGAACAAGAGATAAGGAATTCAGAGATGAAAGCTAATGAGATGGCTATAAGTCTCTCACCAAACTACCAATAAAAGTTATGAAATTTATGTAACACTTTCTGGTGACAGTATTTCCAAAGAGAGGTGAAAGGTTAGGCTTCTTGACATTATTATGGGGAAAATAGCAGCAGATCCTATCGATAGAGAGGCTTGAGGCAGAGAAAGGATTTGTTACAGGGACTTGGAGAAAACACCTGGAATGCTCTTGATGTGGCCTTGTAGTTAGTGTTAGGGGCTGTTCAGTTGCTTTCTGGGCTAGACACAGAAGTGATGAGGGTGGTGTAATTTGGCATCCTTAAATCTTAATTCTAAAGCTTATTCCTCTATTTGCCAACTGAGTAGTCATGAAGAAGTTACATTAACATCCAAATCTTTCTCAACTCACCTATAACACTACCTGCACTATAATAATCAAACGTCTGTAAATCCTTAAAAATGTTAAGTCCTAAGCAAATCTAAGATAATTTTATGACACAGCAAAGCTCTTTAGAAAATACTATATAATTCCCTTATTTCTCAAGCTGTAGTTCTCTCATGTATTTCTGTTCTAATCACATATAAGTGTGATAGTTTGTACTGTTATATCTTTTTTTGTGGGATACTTTGCCTAATATTGCAAATTACGGATGGTAATCCAAGTACCCAGTATCTAGGCATTTTACTACCTAGCTTCAGCATAATTCCCAAGACTATCTCTGGCTTTAATAGTAAAACTGGTTACTTCTACTTGGAATCTTCCACTGAATATAATATTTGTTGACATTCTTTTTAGACTTATAAGTTTCAGTCACTCTTCAGAAAAAAAACTCATCATAAAATCATTGATAGAACACACATTTAACACTGTTCAAAACTGAAGTGATGAAAAAGTGAAACAAAATAAAATAGTCAATAGAACTATACAAATATACTCAGCATATATTTCTCTGAAATGTTATAATTACTTTAAAATAAATTAAAAACTCATTTATGAATGTGAAAAAGCCTGTGAAATAAAGTATCCCACTGCTTTAGCAGCAGAGGCATTTTACAAAACTACAAAAGTTATAAAGTTTACTTCTTAGTGTCTTTTAAATAAAAGCAAAGTTTATCAAAACATTTTAAATGTATATTTGATGCCCACTGAGGAACTTTGAGAAGGTCAGGGATACATGATCCGCTTGCAGAGATCTGTAAAGATTTGACAGGCATAGAAAATACTTTTTAAAATCAGCCTTTCTGGTTAGGAAATAAAATAAGCATTCCTTTAGCACATACTTTACATTCAGAATATAATCTCCAAGAACAACTTGTTAAAAAAAGATAGCTTTTGAAAGCTGTTATTTCTATTCAGTCACTTATCCACTAATTTAGTTATTCATCAAAGAGTAAATGCCTCCTTTGTGTTGGTACCTGAATTTATGTGAATCTGTGGATTTCAAGGAACAGACAGAGAAAGTAGAGGGAACAGATGAGGGAGAAGAGACTGATGCATCCTCAAGGATGATCCACCCTCTTTGCTGTAGCCTCCCCTTCATGTGATACACCCAGAGATACTGCATATGCACAGATAGCCTTTAAGTGTACCTCTCCATTATGTCTGTAATACATACAAGCAGATGCTTCTGGTAAATCTTATCAGCTCTAACTTGAGTTAACCATGAGCTTTAAGACTTTTGCTTAAATCTTTGCTTTTAGAAAGTAATTGGATAGTAAAGTAACTTCTTATGCTATGAAACAGCTGACTGAAAATGGCAGAGGGCCCATTTAATTATATTTGTACATTTGTAACAACCTTTACAATAAAGTAAGGGAATCTCTAAAGCTTTGAAATATGAATGTTAACTGCCAGTTCCAGTTTCAAAAACAGGGACATAAAATGCACTATTGATAATGAACCTCTGGCTACAGGCAGCCCCTTGCCGTCCCCAGCACACCCTGTCAGTGTTTACAGTAGTCCAGGTCTTTGGGGCCTGTCACCACTTGCGTCTGTTCACTTCAAGGCCATATTCAGCAGCAGATCTCAAACACAAAGCAATGGGCTGGTGTCTGCTTACTGCAGCTGAAATGCTTTGTTTCAGAATCGCCTGAACAGCTAACCTCATTGGTCTAGATTTACCACCTTGACCTACTTCATTCATTTATTTTCATGAAAATGGAGACTTCTGGTGCTGATTCACATGAAAGGCATCCATTGGACCAGTGCTCGGATAAAAATAATTATAGTTCCGATAAGTTGTTCCACTCACATTAACTTGTCTGGGCAATAAGCAGAGGAAATAAAATACTTATATCTCTTTGAGTAATTCTAGGGAGCACAGAGATTTCTGCTTTAAAACATGTTGAACATATCACTTTAATCATTGATAAAAATAAACCATCCCTCAGCCAAACTTCCTGTCTCCTTCTCCTTCAGACACAGTTAAGTCATAGCTACCTGCTGTTGATACTTAGCCCCAATTAAAGCAAAGGAAGATAGGGACACAAAGGTAGGAATTGAACTGAATGCATTTTATTCAAAGCAAAATGTATCACTTGACCTACTTCATTCATTTACTTTCATGAAAACAGAGACTTCTGAGGCTGATTCACAGGAAAGGCTTCTATTAGAACAGTGTTCAGATAAAAGTAATTGTTACTCAGATAAATTGCTCCACTCACAATGGCTCTCCTGGGCTGCTTCCTCTTTGTACTTTGGCTCAAGGATAAGAATGTAGAGAGAAGTGTAAGGGAAGGCAAAGTCAAGTTCTGAGAGCCAGGAGAAAAATAAGGAAAATGCAGTGTTATGTACATTGTAAAAGAAAGCTGTAAAGACCAGAATGCAACAAAACAGTCGCTGAAGGTCAACACTCCCTGTGACCACCTGGTCCCCTTTCATGGTTTTCCCCAGATGAACTCCATGATTTAAAGATGTTGAATTCCAGATGAGTTGCATGTATTCGATAAAAATCCATCTCCCTTTGTCTTTTTTCAAATTGTTTTTGGAGATGTAATTGACATATAACATTGTATTGGTTTCAGGTGTACAGCTTAATGATTCACTATTTGTATACTGTAGCACCCTTATCTGTGGCAGCTGTGTTCCAGGACTCACATTGGGTGCCTGAAACTGCAGGTAGTACTGAACCCTATATTTGCTGTGTTTTTTTCCAATACACACATACCTGTGATGAAATTTAATTTATCAATTAGGCACAGTAAGAGATTAACAATAGTAATTTATAATAAAAATAGAACAGTCATAACATACCATAATGTAAGTTACATGAATGGGATCTCTCTCTCTCAAATATCTGAATGTACTGTACTCACCCTTCTCCTTATGATGCTGTGAGATGATCAAATGCATGAGGAGTTGACTTCATGTGGAGGACGCAGCAGATAGCATTAGGTGACCACTGACCTCCTGGCACTTTGTCAGGTCTTTATGCCCTCTCTTTCTGTATTTCCTTCTTTATTTCCTTCTCCTTTTCTTTTTCCTTGCTGCACTGTTTAGGACCTCAGCAGTAATAGAGTCAAATGCTGTTGGTGGAGAACAGGGTCCCCTTTTCTCATATATGTTGACCCATCCATAAAACGTGGGTTTGCAAAAGCATGCTTTGGTGTGCTATGAATGGTACCTGGTGAAAAGGGTCTTCAAATGTGTTACTTTGTCCACTTAGGGCAGCAAAACATGATTCTCAGCTAGATAAAAAACATTTCTCTATTTGCTTTATCCTGGACCTCAGCCCTCATTCCACTGTGTTGGTGAGGGATGCTAGTTTCAGTTCTGTGGGGGATCCTTCCCAGAATTGCTCCAAAATCAGAAGCTGTCCATGATTACAAGAAATGGAAATCAAGGCTACCATAATCACCATTGCCCTTTCTTAAAGTCCCTCCAATCTCTGTTTCCAGACTTGCAGTGGGGCAGATGATCTTTGCTGAAGCTGGGAATCCTGAAGCCTAGAGTTTTGCCTCTCAAAATTATGATCTGCTCGGAGGTCTGGTCTCTACCTCTGTTGCAGAGTGTTCTCACAGAGCAGTGTCCAGATCTCCCGCTCTCTTATGAGGTGTACTGGTTTCCATCTCCTTTTAAATCCAGGAAAATAGCTTCTCTCCAACATGGTTTTTTTTTTCTGATTAAAAAACTCAATGTTCATTGCAAAACAGGTTTAATAAAAACTCTATAAATTAAAATAGGGGTTGAGAGGGAGCCACACAAGTCAAATAAGTTAGGTAAATAGTGGAAATTTAACAGTTATAGGAAATGGAGTAATAGTGGAGTTGTTTATATGAGATAAATGTGCCTATTGGTAACAGTGATAAACTTGGACAAAGTGTAAAAAACAATGCAACTCAAAGCAGGCAGAAGATCCTTGAAAGAAGTGAAGGACACTGAGTGACCTCTATACTTATCAGGCTGTTCCCATAAGGGGACCTTCCAGTTCACATAATGCAGGAGGAAATCAAACTCAAAAAATCAAGTCAGGAAGGTAAGTCATCCTGGGCTGAGGAGACTGGAATTGGGAGTTCAGAGATACCAGAGTGGCTAAAAATCAAGGCAACAAAATCTTAGATGAAAGGGGGTCACAGAGTTGGAGCTCCAAACTCAGCATGCAGATGCCTCATAAGTCCCTGGCTGATTCTTATTACACATATGCAGAACCAGCCCCCAAGGAACCCACTAGAAATCTGCAACTGGGAGTCTAAAGAAACAAGCAGAGCTTTCAGTAGCTGCCCAGTTCTGGGGAGACAAAAGCATAAATGAAAAGTTAGAAACCATTTTGAAAGTTTTTAACAGTATAAAAAAATACACAGTTGTGGAAAAGAACCATATAGAATTTCTAAACAAAATAAATATAATTAGTAGAATAAAAAAACAGACGCACGTGAAGAGAAGTTGGAAAGAATGAAGAAGTCTTGAGTAGGGATGTCTCCCTGGCAGCAGAGCCAACACAGGACGTGAGTACCGGCAAGGTGGTGAAACAGGGCCAGTGCTGGAAAGCCCTGGAATTACTTGCTGTTACTGGGAAGTTAGGGTTTTGAATTCTGATGTAGGAGGAGTAAAAGGCAGGGCCTTAGGTCAGCACATGTCAGTGCTTTTTAAGTCGAAAGTGCTAATATTTGATAAAAATAAACCATCCCTCAGCCAAACTTCCTGTCTCCTTCTCCTTCAGACACAGTTAAGTCATAGCTACCTGCTGTTGATACTTAGCCCCAATTAAAGCAGAGGAAGATAGGGACACAAAGGTAGGAATTGAACTGAATGCATTTTATTCAAAGCAAAATGTATCACTTGACCTACTTCATTCATTTACTTTCATGAAAACAGAGACTTCTGAGGCTGATTCACAGGAAAGGCTTCTATTAGAACAGTGTTCAGATAAAAGTAATTGTTACTCAGATAAATTGCTCCACTCACAATGGCTCTCCTGGGCTGCTTCCTCTTTGTACTTTGGCTCAAGGATAAGAATGTAGAGAGAAGTGTAAGGGAAGGCAAAGTCAAGTTCTGAGAGCCAGGAGAAAAATAAGGAAAATGCAGTGTTATGTACATTGTAAAAGAAAGCTGTAAAGACCAGAATGCAACAAAACAGTCGCTGAAGGTCAACACTCCCTGTGACCACCTGGTCCCCTTTCATGGTTTTCCCCAGATGAACTCCATGATTTAAAGATGTTGAATTCCAGATGAGTTGCATGTATTTGATAAAAATCCATCTCCCTTTGTCTTTTTTTCAAATTGTTTTTGGAGATGTAATTGACATATAACATTGTATTGGTTTCAGGTGTACAGCTTAATGATTCACTATTTGTATACCGTAGCACCCTTATCTGTGGCAGCTGTGTTCCAGGACTCACATTGGGTGCCTGAAACTGCAGGTAGTACTGAACCCTATATTTGCTGTGTTTTTTTCCAATACACACATACCTGTGATGAAATTTAATTTATCAATTAGGCACAGTAAGAGATTAACAATAGTAATTTATAATAAAAATAGAACAGTCATAACATACCATAATGTAAGTTACATGAATGGGATCTCTCTCTCTCAAATATCTGAATGTACTGTACTCACCCTTCTCCTTATGATGCTGTGAGATGATCAAATGCATGAGGAGTTGACTTCATGTGGAGGACGCAGCAGATAGCATTAGGTGACCACTGACCTCCTGGCACTTTGTCAGGTCTTTATGCCCTCTCTTTCTGTATTTCCTTCTTTATTTCCTTCTCCTTTTCTTTTTCCTTGCTGCACTGTTTAGGACCTCAGCAGTAATAGAGTCAAATGCTGTTGGTGGAGAACAGGGTCCCCTTTTCTCATATATGTTGACCCATCCATAAAACGTGGGTTTGCAAAAGCATGCTTTGGTGTGCTATGAATGGTACCTGGTGAAAAGGGTCTTCAAATGTGTTACTTTGTCCACTTAGGGCAGCAAAACATGATTCTCAGCTAGATAAAAAACATTTCTCTATTTGCTTTATCCTGGACCTCAGCCCTCATTCCACTGTGTTGGTGAGGGATGCTAGTTTCAGTTCTGTGGGGGATCCTTCCCAGAATTGCTCCAAAATCAGAAGCTGTCCATGATTACAAGAAATGGAAATCAAGGCTACCATAATCACCATTGCCCTTTCTTAAAGTCCCTCCAATCTCTGTTTCCAGACTTGCAATGGGGCAGATGATCTTTGCTGAAGCTGGGAATCCTGAAGCCTAGAGTTTTGCCTCTCAAAATTATGATCTGCTCAGAGGTCTGGTCTCTGCCTCTGTTGCAGAGTGTTCTCACAGAGCAGTGTCCAGATCTCCCGCTCTCTTATGAGGTGTACTGGTTTCCATCTCCTTTTAAATCCAGGAAAATAGCTTCTCTCCAACATGGTTTTTTTTTTCTGATTAAAAAACTCAATGTTCATTGCAAAACAGGTTTAATAAAAACTCTATAAATTAAAATAGGGGTTGAGAGGGAGCCACACAAGTCAAATAAGTTAGGTAAATAGTGGAAATTTAACAGTTATAGGAAATGGAGTAATAGTGGAGTCGTTTATATGAGATAAATGTGCCTATTGGTAACAGTGATAAACTTGGACAAAGTGTAAAAAACAATGCAACTCAAAGCAGGCAGAAGATCCTTGAAAGAAGTGAAGGACACTGAGTGACCTCTATACTTATCAGGCTGTTCCCATAAGGGGACCTTCCAGTTCACATAATGCAGGAGGAAATCAAACTCAAAAAATCAAGTCAGGAAGGTAAGTCATCCTGGGCTGAGGAGACTGGAATTGGGAGTTCAGAGATACCAGAGTGGCTAAAAATCAAGGCAGCAAAATCTTAGATGAAAGGGGGTCACAGAGTTGGAGCTCCAAACTCAGCATGCAGATGCCTCATAAGTCCCTGGCTGATTCTTATTACACATATGCAGAACCAGCCCCCAAGGAACCCACTAGAAATCTGCAACTGGGAGTCTAAAGAAACAAGCAGAGCTTTCAGTAGCTGCCCAGTTCTGGGGAGACAAAAGCATAAATGAAAAGTTAGAAACCATTTTGAAAGTTTTTAACAGTATAAAAAAATACACAGTTGTGGAAAAGAACCATATAGAATTTCTAAACAAAATAAATGTAATTAGTAGAATAAAAAAACAGACGCACGTGAAGAGAAGTTGGAAAGAATGAAGAAGTCTTGAGTAGGGATGTCTCCCTGGCAGCAGAGCCAACACAGGGCGTGAGTACCGGCAAGGTGGTGAAACAGGGCCAGTGCTGGAAAGCCCTGGAATTACTTGCTGTTACTGGGAAGTTAGGGTTTTGAATTCTGATGTAGGAGGAGTAAAAGGCAGGGCCTTAGGTCAGCACATGTCAGTGCTTTTTAAGTCGAAAGTGCTAATATTAAGCCTGTCTTGATAAAAGAATGGATTAGAAGAACATCTATTTGTTGTCCAAGGGAAGGATGCTTTTCTTTCTTAGCATGAGAGCTGACGAGGGGCAAATAAACAAACAAAATAATGTGGCTTTAGGCATGACCTCATAAGAATTTGTGGTTCCCTCACGATCCTTGAATCTTCAAGGTGAGAAATTAAATTAATGGCAAGGAATGGTAATGTCCTCAGGCATATGTTAAAAGCAATTTCTTACTGGAGTAATGGTCCCTCAGCCAAGGCCTCCTAGAGATTTACTATATTTATGTTAGTCAAATAGGTGGAAGATGGCCCTCTTCCTTTTAAAGCTACCTGGGGATTCCTGATCTCTCAAATTAAGTTGTTCACCTAAAATATTTTTAAGGTCACTTCCAAGTAGGGCTCTCTTTGTGTTTGATATGGCTTGCGCTACAAATGAAGGATTTTACAACTAATATCACAGTAATCTTGAGTAAACTCAATGTTTTCCAATGTCTCTTTGTTTTCCTATGATGCTATGTTGATGTTTCATACATTGAAACTAACATGATAGAAATATGAAAAGAAGTATTGAATGAATTCCAAACAAAATAAGCAGCTCCTATCCATATTATTAGAAATCTTATTCCATTAAGATGATCAAAAGCAAAACTAAAGAATTAGCAACCAAATCATCATCAAATTTCACTTGAAACATTTTATGTAAGCAATCTGGTTCTGAATCCTGCAGGAAATGAAAACAAACACATTTTAGAGATTGTTTGGAATTGAACAGAATGGAGCTCACGCCTATATTTACCAATCCTTGCCAAGCCGTGGGAACCATTTCTTGTTAAAGTGATCGAAATCCTCAGTGGTGGAATTCTCTCTTGCTTCAATTTCACCAGAGGTTAATAGGCAGAAAATATTTCCAAATGGATGGAAATTTCAATTGGCACTGACTAATTCTGGTCCTATGTAGCTTGAAAATCCATATCTAATTGTCTAAGACACTTCTGGCACTATTAATAAGCAAACTGTGAGCAAGGCCTTTCAGGAAACCCCCCAAAGTAACTTTTAAGGTGAAGCTGGGCTGAAATTAATTGAAAGGAACCATACTTTTTTAAAAAAAAAAATAAGAAACAAACAAAATTCCTAGAAATTCAAATTTAAAGAGGAAGAATCTGCACAGATAATTTTTGCCATCTATTCTAGAAAAGACTAGAACAAACTTCTTCACTAATTGCTTTCAGGTAGACAG